TCGAAGTTTTTTTTTTTTGGGGGGGGGGGGGGATGGGATGGTTGGTGTGTGTAAACTGTAGTTGAACAATTATTCATGTGTTGCGTTTTCATTATAGAAAAGTTCATTATAGCACTAAATAGATGTAATTCTTTTAATATTATTAATATCATTTCAAAAGAAAACTTCTTGATCTTGATGTTAATACAATTATGTATTTTATTTTATTAGATCATAGCAAAAAGTATATGTCAAGAGCTATTCAACTCATGCTTGAAACATTAGGGCAGAGAAAACACATAAAATTTTATGTATAATGCAGGGTCATAGTGGTAGAAAATCAAGCAGTTTGATAAATATTTATTATGTCATATCGATTATTATCAATGATATTCTGATCGTTTTTCATAGGAAGTTATATCTTCCAAATGATTTGGTGGCTTATGTTCGAAGAAGGTATGATTAAGCAAATACTCCTCTATGGAGATGCATTATTTTATAGAAGTTGATGTTATATTCAAGGTTGAAATTTACTTTAAATCCTGAACTACTTGAGATCTTCATGGCATATGGCATCACTTTGACCCATTTTTTTTATATAAAGCCATGATTATTTTTATGTGTTTGACTAGCTTTTTCAAGAGATGCAATTTGAAACTAATTAACATGTACTTCTCGAGAATGTGTAAATTTGTATGTGATACTCAAGGGTTTATTTCATGTTGGCATAACAACAAGTGGTTGGACCTTTAAATATGAGTTAATTTAAGAGTTGGTCTAGAGGGTTGGTTTTTGTAAAATATGGTCTCTCTGAAAAATGGGTGGGAATAAAGAAGCTACCAAACCCAATCCATATCACAGAGGGAAAAATATTTGAAGTCTTTGACATGTAAAATATAGAGAGAATTCAATAGTAGTTGCATTTTATTAGCCAATTGTGATGGAGAAAAGATTCTTCATAATTATCTTTCTATTCAGACGTGGATGTATCATGTTTTGTTATTAATCAAATCTAAGAAAATTCACAAGGCAAGTTTTGGTGCTTTAGAAGTTCATTTAAGGGTCCTTCAAATAGTTATAAGGATGATTAATTGTCTCCTTTAAAGAAAACAAAACTAGAGCGCCTTGCCACTGTGTTTAGCATTAGTTAACCAAACAAATTATCCTCACTGCCCTCTTTTATATATAATATAGATGTATATATGTTCATTGCAGATGATTTGAAAAATAAATTTTGAAGCCAAACATGAAATCATACTAGATGAATGAAATGCATAGTCTGTAAAAATTAAAGATTTGCAAGGTGAGTACATGCAAAGTTTGAATTTTAATGTAAAAAAATGACAGCCTTGGATGACCAATCACTAAGGTGTTGACTATATTTACTTCAATTTCTCTACAATATTAAGAGATTGATCACTCCCATTATGAATTAATTGAGGTAAGGAAGAAATACATTAGATAACAAAGGCCTTTAACTTTCCCTAAGATAGAATGGTCCATGCCTTTTTCTCCAAGTCATGTTAACTTGAAAGAAAAAGAACTAGTTAGGGAACCTTAATTGTATATTAATAACTAGCTAGGGAGCCTTAAATATATATTAAATTAGAAAGAGAATGTAATATGTGATGCTCTAGCACCTAAAATAGAGATTTTTTACTTGTACCGTTCTAGATGCTATTGTGTTTCCATTCACATTCACATGCATGTGACTTCTTAAATTAAGCTTTTTTATTAAGATTACTTAGCACTGATAATTTCTATTTAATACATGATAATAGTATGCATGCTCTGTGAGTTATTCATCTAAGATGTATGGAGATATTTTTTTGTATTTGAATGAATTTATTTTCACATTCACACAGGCACGCATATGCAAGGCCTTGAATTGATGATCTTTTAGTTACAAATCTAAGCTATAACACAATAGGTAAGTTGGGCATCAAATAGTTGAGAAAGTTATTTTAAGATCTTGCTTGAGTAGCAATGCACTTTTAAAATTTATTATTGACTTCAATTCTTTTTATTTAAAATAGGAAAAATAAAGTTGGAGATCATGTAAAATGTTATTTGTGATTTTCTTAATTATTTCTTATATCAGAAAAGAATTTTTATGAACCAAATTACATATCTTTTAAATTAACCAATGTCTAGTTTTAATAGTCTTATTTTCATTAATTACCTATTGCTTAAAGGAAGATCAACATGCGAATTCATAAGGCTTTGTTTAGATTAGGGGTGACAATTCAGGTTAGTGGGTAGATTTCCGGTATGACCTAAATTTGACCCAACCTGAAATGCCTGACCTAAACTTGAAATATTTATTATACAGGTTAAAATGTTCAAATCGAAAACCAAAACCCAACTCATTTGACATGTTTATCAATTTTTTAGATAAACATGAACCGTTTAACCCAAAATTTACCCATTTAATCCGAATTTAAATATTGATAATCAGATCAATTTCAATTTTTTCACGCCAACCTACACACAACCCAAAAATTATTTGAGTCAACATTCTTAACCTGATTCCAGCTCAAAAATTAATCAATCAATTCAAACTTGAATTTTTCAAATCGGATTTAGATCGAGTTATGGAATCAAGTCATTTTTTGGCACCCTTAATTTAGATGAATCAAGAAAAATAAAGTTTAACACAAAATAAATTTAATTAACATCACATGAATAATTAGTTCATAATTTGGCCCTAATTAAGTCTAATCATCTGAGTAATTAAGTATTATAAAATTTGCCAGTTTGCTAAGAGTTTAAAACAAAAAAATCCTAATTTTTAAGATTAGATTTGTTGTTCTTATTTACAAATTAGAATAAAATTTCATACATAGTTGTATTGTAAGGTTTAATAGATTCAAGCATACATATCAAAGAGTTTAAAACAAAAAACCCAAATTTTTAAGCTTGGTTTTGCTTTTCTTATTTACATTTTTTTTTTCAGGAAACTCACATATGGGTCTACACGTTAATTGAAATGAAAATTACAAGCCTTTAAAGAACATTAAGCTCTTTAAAATTATAGCCTTTGAATTAAAACCTACGAGCCAATGTTTCTATCTATTACAAAGAAGAACAACAGGAAAAAAAAGACAAACAAAAATAAAAGCACCAAAACGAGGGATGACTCCAGAGGATAACAAGAATATTCATTATTCTAGAGAGCAGCCAGAAGTTCTAATAGCCAAAACTTGCAAGTAACAACCAAATAATCTTACAAGGAAAAAGACAAACCACTAGCCATCGAACGATAATAGACAAAGGAGAAAAACCCAACTAGTGTTTTTTAGATTTCCTCCATCGCGTTTTGCTACCGCCACGAGAAAAATCTTTTTGATTGAGACGACCAACATTCAAACTTTACAATTCATGAAAATCACCCATGGGGTCACCCAAATCATCTCCAACACCAGCGCAAGGAGAGGAAGCATATCTGTCAAGCCAATCAGATTGATCCAAACAAGATTCCTTCATGGTCAATAATAAGTGAGTAATCCTTAGAAATGACAGAAATTGGCACATCAAATATATTTTGAATCTCATTAATAGAAGAAACAGCCAAATTTGGAGAATGCACAAGTGAAACATCTTCAAAGTCATTAGAAGGATCATTAGCATGCACATCCAACCCCCCCAAAGAGGGTTCCCCATGGACCAACCCGCAAGGCACAGAGAAATCAGCATCAATAGCAGAAAAAACATCCCCACCAACAATAAAATTAGAAGAAGGGTTGGGAGTAGCACACAGGCTAACCCCACAGTTATTTACATCCAACTTATCATTAACACCATCTATATTAACATAAGCCATAGCCACTTACCAAGTAACCACAACTGATTCAGCCACAACAGAATCACTAGGATGAGACACCAAACCACAAGGAGAATCAAACACATCAAAACTATTAACATCACACATAGTTTAGGGTTTCATTTGTAATAAGTCAATTCTACAAATTATAATGATATGTCAATGCCAATTATAATAGATAGATAATGGAAAAAAATGCATTATATGAATTTTTTTTAAGGTTAACTTGATTTTGGTTTTATGTGTGCATTTGTATGAACATTTAATTTTCAAATCTTCTTAAGGTGATTAAAATCAATTAACTATGTCAAGGGATTTTAGTTGATGTAAAGATTTCATTTGTGGATACTTTTTTGTCATTTGGTTGGATAAAGTCCTAAAAGCTTCACTTTATTAGCATAAGCAAATGTAAGAATCTAACTCGACTTACAAGAGAAAATACATGCACATAAAGATGTAGAATATAAGAAAAAGCTTGTGGGAGTGTAGGTCATGCATGCTAATTTTAAATGTTTTATTTATGAGATGTTGAACTTTTTTATGCATATTGCTAGAAGAGATTGAGGATATTGAAGTAGATCATTAGAAGTGTGATTCCGTAAGATTGTCACTTTATTTAAATAGAGTGAGTGTGACTCCATAGGGTTGTTTTATGCAAAGCAGGTGTGATACCAAAGGATTTTTTTATAATTGCTTATACATTATTATAAAAATTTGTACATTATAATTCTAAGGTCATTATATTGTCAAAAATTTTGTCTAACAAATAGTATTTTATTACTTTTTTTGTGGTTGTGGTATGTCAGTATGAATAAATGTATAATATTTTACTCTTTTTTTTAACTATGAATCATATAGATATTAGAACATATCATAATTGAATGTATAATAGATTATCTTGTCATAGAAAAAAAAGTTCACAATATGGTTTAAGACATTCATATATTTTTATAGATGTTTTATACTAACATGGATTAATGCATTCTAACATTTCTCTATGTTATGTTAATATTTCATAGAATTTGTAGGGTTCATAAACCTACAAATATAATTCTAAGGAAAGGCTTGCTTGACCTTGCATGGAGATCTCTGCGAGCTATTAACATCTATCCTATTTTCCTTTTGAATGGTTATAGATTTCACATTAGATCTTGATGTGAAGGGAATTTTTTTGAAAATTATGGTGTTTTCATTAGAAGGAACACTCACACAAAAAAAGAAGGTGACTACTATGATAACTTAGAGGAGGTTATTCAATTACAACATCTAAGTAAAAGGCCACAGTCAATTATTCCTCTTTAACTAAGTGGTTTGATCATATCCCAAATCAAGGTATAAAGGTACATTCCCTTTATAGTAGTATTGAAGGGAAGCGAAAGAGGAGATATTCTTAATTTGATCCCTCAACATAGCACACCAAGTAGCTCAAGTTTATTAAACTAGATATCCAAATAGAGTGAGTGAAACGTAAGATTGGCTTGTAGTTATTTAAACTATAACTTGAGGTATTATTGAGAGCCATGATATGATACAAGTTATGCATCAAGAAAAGAGAATGCCAAATTTTAAGGAACCAGTCCATGATGTTGAGGACCAAACATTATGTATTATTGAGATACAATTTGAAAAAATTGAAATTTATATTGATGACGGCGGTGACAATGACTCAATTGATGAAAAGATATTTAACTCAAGTGAAACCTCAGTTAATGAGTATCTGGAATGTAAAGTAGGACACTTGGATGCCTATGATATTTTTTCTATGTCCAATCCTATAGGACAACCCTACAGAAATCAGTCTCAACCATATTAGTTCTATTTTAAGGAATTTGTTGCATATCACATATCACAAGTCGGTCAGGTGGCTTTCAATGCAGTTGTCAGCATACTTATCAGTATATTTGTAGTATGTCAAAAATACATATGATACAAAATGAATAGTAAATACATACATATCATGTGGTCTATGTCTAAAAGTAATATGTTGACTCCTGGTCTTTCTATATTCAACATTATATTACTTTTTTTTATTAAAATGACATATAAGCTAAAGCACATAGTGAACCTTGAATATTAACCAATCAAAATGTTCAGGATGATGATATCTATCACATATCAAAAAATACACGATAAAAAATCACTAAATTAAGGCATTGCATCTTAATCAAATTTAAGAGAGATAAAATTCGAGAAATCAAAATCTTTGAAAAAAATAATAGGATTCATGTTACCTACCTCAATCAGAACACTTTTTTTACTAAAGTGACAAATAGAAATGGTCATAATGAACTTTCTCTCTCCTCTCTTCCCCCTTCTCTCCCCTTTCTTCCCCAACAAGGCATGAAATATTGGATTTGAATATTTTTATATAAAAATGAAATTTCATGTCCAACGCCATAGTGTCCAAGACCCTATCGCCGATGTGCCCTATTAATTGCCCAAAAACCTGAGAGCTCAATGTTGGGGCTCAACTCTTCTTGCGTAGTAGCTCTATCAATGCTACTACATTCGCAAGTACAACACCGTAGTGCTCTCACAGAAAAAATTTCTAAAATTTAGGGAACTTGAAATTGCGGGTTATTACAGGTTCATCATCAACAAATGTTTGCATGTACATAAAGCTTGATAAATATACATACATATATATTGCTTTTTAATATACATCCACATATGAAGAAGTAATAATATGAAATATTTTATTTATTATATAGCTTTAACCCATCCAAAGCCCATACAGAGACATCATCATAAGTAAGTATGATTCTCCATATGTATTTTAGAAGAAAATACCACAAGACATTCATGAAATGTGATTTCAATAGTTTGAGATAAATCAATACTACAAAGATCAAATGTACATTTTAAATTCTTGGCTAATTTTTTTGCAAAGTGATTGTCAAATAGATAGATTTCAGATGGCTGGCTCAATATAATGATAGGATCAGAAAGAACTTTGAGAAACAGAGCCGACTTGCCTGTGAGATATGTTCATAAATATTTACAAGTTGAATGACAAACCTTAGTGAATTGATGAGATTATTTGGGCTGATTTGAACAAAGCTTGGAGCAACTTAGATTATGCCAAGGAAATGAAGTATAATAAGTAGAATAGAGCCCTGATTGTGGCAAAATGGATAACTACCTCTATACTGGCAACTAGTTCCACACACTAGGGATAGAGGACATCTAATATAATTTGCTCCTTTAGTGTAGTACAATTTGAGTTCGTACATTATGATTAGTTCAAAAACTAAACCAGTCCAGTACAATGAAATCATCATAGTTATTTAGATGAACTATTCAAATTTTCGAACACATCGTACAATATGAACCGAAGATCGTCGAGTACGATCTATTAGTTTTTCTCTATGTTCATACAGGACGAGTCCTAAGATGATTAGAAATCATCACAGTAAGTCATCATGTACTACTATCATTATACAGTACAGTTAGTTGATTTCAATCAATATCGTAAAGTGTGACGTGCTATTATGAATTAAATCATAATTTTATTGACTAATTATGGTGATTAATTTAACTAAGATGTATAGTACGAATCAGATCGTACAGTATGATTAGTTAAAAAATTGATATTTGAATATCTTACTTAATTTATCCAACGGCTAGGATTTTCAAACCGTAACAAATCGCACAATACGATCTAGATCCTATAATACGATTAATTCACAAAAAAACTAATTGTTCAATTAGTCGTTAATCCCATTCTTTTTATACTGGTCGTATAGTATGATTAATACAAAAAATTTAACTTTTAAGATTTATCTCACTACCCCTGTGTGTGTGTGCACGATCACCCAATTGCATACACTCTCATGTGGTCAAACTCAAGAAATAGAAAATAAGTAAAAAAAAAAAAATAGAGATCTGTTTACTTGACATTCCTATTCTACCCATTTTTGAGCTTTTAGTAGCCTTGAGCAGTATCTGTCATACCTGCAATGTTAGTGCTTATAGACAAAAAAAATATCTAAAATATTTAATGAGAAATGTTACAATTCAATCAATAATGTTTTTCATCATCAAAATCACATATTAGAGATCCTGAATTGCAACACTAATCAGTCGAAAGGAGATAACTCTGACAGGGGAAATAAAACGAATATGGTAAGCACAAGTTGATATGCAAGCGCATTAAAGTTAGGTGAAAGTAGAGTTAAAAGCATTCATAAAACAATATCATTAGCAACAGACTCAAAAGGGTAAGGAGAGCAAGGAGAGGGGCGACGATTAGTTATAGTTTTTCATGTGTTACTTTTCATATTTCTTTTCTTAATTTTGTCTCACGTACTACTTCAGAATACGCATGCATTGCTATAATTAGCTGTTTAATGGGTTGTTTTTTTTATTAATATTTCTATTCAAAGTTGTTTGGTTTACTGTTATATTGTTATGATATATTGCTTTGCTTAGTTTTTTATAATCATAAGAGAAACTGTTATTCTGTTATTTGGTTCGGTCGACCGAATGAGAGAAATACTCGGTAGCAGGAAAAAAGCCGCGGTACCGAGGTGTACCGAGTACCGAGTTTTTCGGTCCGAGTTTTTCGGTACACCTCGGTACCGTGGTTTTTTGCCTGCGACCGAATGTTTCTCTGCATTCGGTCGGAGGACGTAATAATTGTTCGTATGAAAGAGCTTTTTTTGCTACTATGTTTTGATGAATTTCTATCGATTTTTTGGTCAAAATCTGTCGGTAAAGTTCTAATGAAAAAAAAGAGCAAAATATCCATTGGAATGAATGCCAGTGGATTTTCCAGTGGACAGATAAGGTCTGTCTGTTGGTTTTTTTTTTAATGATGGATCTTTCATGCCAATGTTTCCAACAAATTTTTCACTGAAAATCCATTGGAAACATTCCCAAAAAAATATTTCCAACCAAAAATCTCTCCAACCGGCTTTCTAGCGACGACTGGATCCACCAGAAATATTAATTTCCGATGAATTTATGCATTTTTACAGCAAATATTCGTCTGAAATACCAAAATTTCCAATAGTGTCTGCATGCATCTCGGTAACTTCAACTTACAGGCAATTTCTTTTTATTATTTGCAGACTTAATCGAACCTAATATATAGTAACAATCAGACTTGATTAACTTAACCCAACAACATCAAGTGCACATTTAATTTTTTTGCAGAAATCTTCTTTAGGAAGGACTCAATCAATTAAATAATTACAATACCAAAAAGACCACCATGCACTTTCACATCAACACTAATGAATCTCACAAAAAACACTATGCAAGTATCATATCAAGGTTGAAAACAAACCTGCAACAATTTTCTGAAAACTACTTTAAATTTATGTGAGTGCTCTTCATGGCCCTCCAATTTATCCTTTTATGCTGATGAATACTTGACACCTTCAATGCTGGTTCCAGGCTTATCTTCATAACACATAAAAGTCTTCTATAATACTATCTCTTGATAAACAGCAACAGTGGAATCTGCACAAAGATAGTGGAGCAACATCGCAAAAAAAGATATTCTCCATGATTGTAACACATGCTACCAACTATATAGATATTCTCCATGCGGAAGGAAGACGTCCCAAAGAAGCCTAAGTCAAATTCTCATAATTTTTTTTAAAAAAAGTACCAATAAGTATTTCATAAGAGCTCAAGCAGTCATGCCTGCTTTGATTCATTATCTGAAAGCAACCATTCAAGAAAGTTAAAAACAAAGTTAGGTAATAGGAACCGAAAAGTCGTATCAGTTTCTTCGACGGAACACTAATCAGCACAGTCCAGACTCCATTGAATTATGGGAAGAGGAAGAGATTTATGATTCATGCAGAAAAATAGGGAAGAAATGGTGGACATGAAGAAAAAACAATGGGGCCTTCTGAGTGGCTCAAATCAGTGGAATCCAACATAGGAGATGATTTTCATGGCCCATGGTTAGAATTCCATTGCTTTCATGCAACTTCATGTCGAATGCTTTCTGCAAACACCATGCTGTGACACCACCAGCTACTGAGTTCATTATTTTGTTCCCCTCTCCTGAATCAAAGTTTTGTCTTGTGGTCTTCTTAACAATGATATATTTATCTTGAACGAACATGAACCATATATGTTAATAAAGTTGTCAAAAGATCAGATTGGCTTTGTAGTTTTAAGTTTTTTTTTTAATTAAATATTTATGTGAATCAGGTTTACTGAAAAACAAATTGCATATTCTAACAAAACAAATAGATAATAATAATAATTTCAGCTAAAAACAAGATGTATATAGTAATTGTAAGAGATGATGAGCAAATTCATGTTGATTTCTATAGTTTGAAGACTGTAAATTTCAAAATTACAATGCATTGGACCATCTTAAATTATGTCAGAAAGTTATAGTAGTTTCATCAATTACAATTTACAAAATTTTGCATTGGAAAATGCAAAGGATAGCTTGAATAGTTAAGCAACCACACATAAAAAGAGGTAATAGTGAACAATTTTTATGATGTAAAAAGTGACTGAATCAATTGTTAAAGCTGAAGAAAACTATAGCACAACAGAGAACTTTGTTAATGTAGAGTTGCAGGTCTACTAATATTGTGCAATGCAAGTGCTTCCAAAACTTTTTTTTTTCCCACAAATTCAGCCACTGAAAGTAAACCAGGCAAAGAAACTAATAGAGCTCTAAAATCATTAAAAGAACCAAAAACCCCCCCGCGTGCCTCCTCTCAACTGGAAGGACTTCCTCACCTCTAGCTTCCAAGTTTCTACTGAGTTATCACATTTCCTCGCCCTCTATCCGACCCACAACATCACTGCTTAGTTCACCAAGGACATGTTCACTGCTGGTGCGCCATAGTGGTTGTTGTCCCTAATGGGATACTCGATAGGCAAAAGGTCCTTTTACGAGTCGCTTCTCGCAGCCATCAACAAAGCATGGATATTGAAAGGCACCCTGTCCCTCCCTGCTCACCATGGACGATGGATTCTTTTTCTTTTAAGTTCTCTACCATGGAGGAGTATTTGCTTGGTTGGGTGGCCCCTGTTTTTTTTTTTTTTCGAAAAACCCTTCATCCTCCAAAAATGGACCCCTGATTTCACTCTCAAGCGTGAAGAGTTCCCTTCAATTACCTTATGGATCAAAATCATGAACTTCCCCCTCTCTAGTTGGACCCACAGGGGCATTTTCAAAATTGCTAGCTGTGTTGGCATCCCTCTTGCAGTCGATTCGCTCATACCTGCTAAAACTTGTCTTACGTTTGCTTGTGTCCAGGTTATTAGCACCTCCCACTTCCCTAATGAAATTTATTACTATGTTGATGGGGAGATTATACCTCTTAAAGTCATTTAAGACTGGAAGCTTGAACCTTGCTCTCATTGTGACTCAATCATGCATCCCCCTACCCTTTGCTAAAAAAGCCCCACCCCTCAGACCCAAAACCCAAATCGTCCTAGAGGCAAAGTACTAGTCGGAAACCCCAACACACTCCTCTACATAGGCTGATAGTCACTATGCCCCCACTTCCAACCACCACCCATCTGCCTCCCTCCCCCTTTAATCACCCAAGCAATTTCTCCACAACCAACCCTTCCTTCTCACAAATTTCAAATATTAACTCTCCTTCTGAGGAAGTGTGCACTCATGCAGACCCACTTCCCCCGTACACTAACTCGCTCACCACTGACACCAGGAACAATTCTCTGCCCTAGTTGTGTAGGACAACCCGAAAAATAACAATCCAAACCCCCCATTTCCAATCCCCTCAAACTAATAACCTCTGTCTCTCTCATATTACCTTCTAAAAAAAAATTCAGAGCCCCACCCATACTTCTTCCTCCAACTTTATCTCCACCCACTCCCACTCCTACACCCCTTACTCAAACTTCCCTTCCATCGAACAAGAACCTCACCACGGTCCTTCATCACAACAACCTCAATAACCAGCTGCCCACAACCCTAAAAGCACAAGAGCTAAACATGCAAAAAGGCAGTCATCACCCTCCTAAATACCAATGATCCTCTCCAAGCTTGTTTCCTGGAATGTCCATAGTTTTAATAGCCCTGCCAAAGTTTTGAGCTGCAAGCATCTTATTTCCAGCCACAATGTAAACCTACTCTTCATTTTGGAGGCTAAAATCTTGTCCTCCTCAACCAATGACCTCTAGTTTGCTGCTACCCACAATGTCTTCCAAACCAAAGCCTTCTACAAAAAATTTTGCTTTCCCTGATCCTAGTCATATCTGGATAAAATGGAACCCCAATGCTGTTGATTTCAAACTTCAATTTACTTTGATCCAACTCATCCATGACACAATTTTCTTTGCCTCCTGGCAGTTTGTATATGATTCCAACCATTTAGGTGAAAGGCAACTAATGTGGAAGAAACTGCAAACTATTGCTAGTATTATTTTTTTCAATATGCTTTCCTCTTGGGCTATTTTAGGAGAGTTTAACTACTGCCCCAACCCTTAATTCTAAGAAGGTCGGTGGGACTAAGCTCTCATTCAACAAGTGTAGAGATATTTAACGACTTGATAATTAACATTCTAGCTTATGACCTCTCATCTGTGGGGCACTTCTACACCTTGTTCTACAAAAGAGCTGAAAACCCCATTCGTATCAAGCTTGACCACATCCTAGTAAACGTCTTGCTTTCCTCCTTTCCCAATTCCTTTTATAGGGTTAGTGATCGCCAATGGTCTGATCACTCCCCTCTAATATTGTATCCTATTGTTGAACCTGATAAAAATCATAGATTCATGTACAAGAATTATTGGTCCAAGAATATTGAGTTTTGGAATCTCTTGATTGAAACTATCTCACAATCGAACAAGGGGATCTCGCTCTGCTCCTTCTACTATATGCTAAAAAATGTCAAAATTTCTATCAAGCAAGGCTAACTCTATTCTCCTCCAAAAAGAGCTAGACTCTTTAAATGGCCACCAAAACTCTATGCTCAGTTATATTTAGGCCAACCCAATTAACCCTTACCTTAATGAAGCCCTGAAAAGTGCTAACCTTAAGCTTTCCTACTGCCAAACTTCCCTGTCCAACTGGATTATTCAGCAGGATAAAGACAAATAGATTTTCAATGGGGAAGATGATCTTAAATTCCTCTATTCCAAGATTAATATCCATAAAAATTGTAACCCAATCAAGGAAATACACTCGGACCTGGGAGTTCTTACCTCTATTGTCGACATCTCTAATGCCTTTATTTAACACTTATTCAACCCCACCCATCCTAAGCCCTCTAAGGCCCTAAGCATACTACCTGGAAATACTATTCCCACCCACCTATTGGCCAACTTGATTGCTCTTGTAACCATGAAAGAGATTAAATGCATTGTTTATTCAGGCCCATCATGTTCGGCCCCAGGTCCTGACGGATACATCTTTGATTTTAATAAATCATTTTGGAATACTATTGGGGTTCAAATTTGTGATGTTGTGTTATCCTTCTTCTCTAATGCTTATATGCCTAGATAAGTCAAAGCCACTGTTATTTCTCTCATTCCCAAGTTACCGCATGTCACCAACATCAAGGACTTCAGGCATATCTCCTTATGCAATGTTATGTATAATATCATTGCAAAAATTATTGCAACAGGATGAAAGATGTTATGTCGTTCATTATACATTCTAGTCAATGATGAATTATCAAGAATATAATTATTTCTAACAACATCATTCTTGTGCTAAATTACTAGGAAACTTTAACAGGAACCCAAGAAATAGTTTCTTTTGTGCAAAATTTGATATTGCTAAAGCTTTTGATACCATTTCTAGGGAGTTTCTTTTGGAATGTCTTGCTGCCAAAGGCTTCCCTAAGGTGTTTGTTTCTTTGATTAAAGCTTGTGTTTTGGATTTTCATTTATCTTTGTGCATCAACGGGGCTCTTCAAGGTTTCTTCCCTTCTGCTTCTGGGCTTCATCAGGGATGCCCGCTCTCCCCTTATCTCTTCAGCATTGTCATGGATGTCCTATCTTCTTATTTAGACATGGTGGTTGCCAATAACAATTTTTTTTTTGAAATGACTGTAGGTAATTCTTATGTCTCCCACCTTTTGTTTGCTGTCAACCTACTTATCTTTAGCCGTGCAACTATGGGCAATGTTAGAAACCTCAACAGTATTCTCCACCACTGTGCTGCAATCTCTGGACTCCATGTCAACCCCTCTAAAAGCGCCATCTTTATCACCAAAAATTGCTCTCAGGGCTAGGAAATATGTGATGTTCTGAATATTACCTTATCACACTCCTTCATGAAATACTTGGGAATTTCCATTTTCTAGAGGAAATTGAGGCAATCAAATTTTCATCCTTTGATTCATAAAATTTCAAACTTGCTGGATGGCTAGAAGGCTAAAACCCTCACTTTTGCGGTCAAAATTCAATTTATTAAATTCACCATTTACAACACCCTTGCCTACTGGATCAGAGGTTCTATTATACCTAAAGCTAGTTGCAAAAATATTAACAGTCTTTGTTCTATATTTTCTTATTTTGGCAATATTAACCTAAGGAAGTTGCATACTATCTCATGGAGAGATACCTGCAAGCGAAAGTCTTATGGTGGTTTAGGAAATCATGCCATTGATACTATATACCATGCCTTCTCATCCTCTCTTGTTCGGAGATTTCTTAACTCAAACAATTTTCTCTTTGACTGGTGGTGTTCTAAATACCAATTCATGTGTAACCCAAATGTGCCTATGTAGCTGTTAGCACTAGGCAATCCATCTCCCTCACCATTCATCAGTCTAGTAACCTCTCCCTCCTTTGGGACTTGTGGTGCAATGGTAATTCCATTGTTGAACTAATCACAATGCATAATTTCGAGAATTGTAGTGAAATATTATCCCTCTGGGATGTCAGTAAAATCATCATTAATGGTACTTGGGCCCTCCCTCCCTCCATGATTTCACCCTTACTGCTGTGATAAAAGAAATTCCTATTGCTAAGTAAAACATAGGCCACCAGTGGATGGATAACTGAAACTCAAGCTTCAAGTATTTATCCTTGCAATTTTTTTCTTCTTCCACATTAGTTACCTGGCACTAAAGATATGCGCCACGTTTTTCTTCTTTTATGTGGATGGCCTTCTGTGGTGGTCTCAAAACTGCTGATGTCTTAGCTCACTGTGGAATTCACTCTCTAGATTACTGCTCTTTCTATTTTACTGATTAGGAATCACAACACATTTGTTTTTTGAATGTGATTACACTTTCTCCACCATTAAGTCCTTTCTTCCCTGGCTGAGGGATCGACTTATGTGCCTGAACCTGCACCAAACTTTTGATAGCATCACCGAGTAAGGCTTATCTGTTATCAAGAAAAGCTTATATATACTATATACTTGCGATATTATTTATTTTATCTAGAGAGAAAGAAACGAAAAAAATATTTGGTGGTTCTATAAACTGCCAAGTTACGCTCATTGTTAAAATCAGGAAGGCTATTTTGAGCAAGATTGCTCTATGGAAGAACCACTCCTCTATTATTCAGCTGCTCTAATTATGGGCTTGGGTTGCTGCTCTCCCTCTTTGGCTTTGGTTTTTTACCCCACGAGTGTTGCTTTGCTAAATCTCGGTGCCAATGGTATTTTTTTGGAAGAATGATGATGATTGGTGCTATCAACCTGTGGCCCCTTGGACGGCCTCTTGGCATGCAGTGGTTACAATTTTTCTCTATTAACTCTCTATGATATCTGCTTGTTGGATCCGACCCCATTTTTGAAGCACCCTAAGTCCTTCAGTGCTACCTCCTCTCTTTTTCTTTTCTTCTTACTGTAATTTTTTACGTGGCGGCTCTCTTTTTGTTGTCGAGCTCATCGGTTCTCTTTTACTATTTTTACGCATGTAATTATTTACTTTTTCATTAATCCATACAAGCTTTGCCCCTAATTCCACCCCCCCCCCCCCCCACAAAAAAAAAAAAACCAATACTTATATAAATATGATATGATTGATATATAAATATTTTGCACTTATTTTTTATTAATTTGAAATATGAGTTAATACACAACTCATTTGGTCAATTGATTGAGAGTTTATGCTACCAACTAAGAGGTCTTGAGGTCAAGTCTAGTGTATGTGATGTGTGTGTGAGTGTCACGACACAACCCGATTGGGACGGATCCCGCTCGCATTGGGCCGCGACGGAGCCAACAAATCCAGGATCTGGCTTTGAAATTTGCTTCAGAACTTTCTTCCAAATATAAAACAGACAGAAAAACACAGAGCTACTATAAACATCCAAACACAGCGCAGTTCATCTATTTTTTCTTTCATCTAAATAATCATATACAGATACAGTACATGACTTACAGACAAAAAGAATAGAACATAACAGAAAAGCCATGACTGTACAAAAATAAAAAGTATCAAGTATTTAATCACAGATCAGACTCAGAACGTCTAGTCCAAGACCTCCTTCCTTTTCCCAGAACTTGAAAACCACGCAGAAAATAAGGATGAGTTAACAGCTCAGCAAGACATCAATCACCAATCAAAATCATCAAAAACTCTCATCAGAAATCACATCAGAAAAGTATCCGTACAAAATTTGAACAATCATACAGAAATCGTATAACAGACAGAACAGATAATAGCTCAATCAGAAATTAGCTTACGGATACAGAAAATTGAAGTCATATCGAATCGGAGTTCGGAATAGATATCATAAAGCTTTCAAATCACAGAGCAGACAGAATCGTACAGAAATAAGAAATCAAATAATTCACAGAGCAGATTCAGATATCAGATTTCAGATGTCCCTGACACAAACAGAATCTCGATGGATTCTGGCCCCTTATGCATCCCTTCCCTGACATAAACAGAATCTCAATGGATTCTGGCCCCTTATGTCTCCCGTTGTGCTTATAGCACCAGAACAGAACAACATTACAATACTAACTGTACCC